TCCATGTCCTGCATTATCTCTAGGGGGTTCTCATTGTACTCCTCTAGAGGACTATCAGTATTTGGTGGGGATATATTATTTTGGTTTTTCATGTTATTATTTTTTCTCTGTGATTTTGGCCATGTGAATTTCTTTTGTAGTTTCAGATTCTTGTGTGAGACTGAGGCCTTCACGTTTAGGTCTGCTTCTTTTTGTGAACTTTATGTGTCTTTGTGGTTTACTTTTTGGGTATGAAAAGTTGGTTCGTCTAAGCTTCCGGTTCTCTCTTTTGATTTTATATTGGAGTGGCCGGATTGCTTTTGTCTTCAGGAGTTCCCACAGAGGCCCAATTCAGATGAGGGTCAGATGTTTTCAGGCTTTCTCCTAAGGTCTGGATCCCTCCAGGAAAGATTTTGGCCTCAGAAATTTAGGGGTTGGAATGGCCTGGGAGCCTGGCCCAGGAAAGATGCTGTTCTAGGGCAGCTGGTGGCTATGCCACCCAGAGATGCAAAGGCAGATGGGGCGGGAAGAGGCCCCAAGGACTCCTGGGGACTGCACTGAGGAGCTGTGTTGGTCTGGTTGCAAAGGATCAAGGCAAGGAAAGGTCAGGCCCTGAGTCCCAGAAAGAGGCTGGAGAGTGGTGCAGGCCCTGGGAAGCAGAGGGAGGTGAGGGCGGGGCCAGGCCCAGAAGCAGTGCTCCTGGGACCCAGAGAAGGCACTCCATGGGTCTGGATGAAAAGGATCAGGAAGCAGTATTGGTTCCCCAGATGTCTGGGGCCCCAAGACAAGGAATGGGGCAGGACCCAAACTAGGAGGAGAGACTGGTGGTGGGGATGGGAGGGTGAGTGAGGCTGGGGGAGTCAAGGCACAGAGGGTGCCATGGACTTACCCCGGAGAGAGGCCTGTGGGGAGGAGAGAGGCCTGCCCATACTGGGATTTTTGTCTGGCTTGAGCATGCACATGTCTTGTGTATGCTGCTCAACTGCTATGAGTTCATGTGTTCAACTGTCATGTTGTGTCTGAACAGTATACCTGGCACTGTTATCAGGGTCAAGAACCTATAACTTAGGTCATAGGCCATAGGGGAAAAACCTACTGCTATTTTTCAGCTAAATGGACATAGTATTAAGTCACTTTTTAATAACTTATTCTTATACCCATAGATTAGCACATCTCTGAAACCTCATCAGAAAAGCTTCATTTTACAGCAGATAGTGATTAACACAGACTCACAGCTGGTCACTGTGTAGAGAACAAGAGACTGCAGGGTACTCAGCCCTAAATGGGATATCTGTAAAACCCCCTCCTCCCAAGGTTCAAGGATCATTGCAGAAGAGGGGGCAGAAGGATTTTAAGAGTCTGAGACAGTGAATGACTACAATAGACAGCTAAGTTTTAAACACAATTCTGTCCCAGTTAAAAAGTGACCTGGGCAAGTCATGGAGTCTTTCAATACTTGATTCCCCTCATCTATAGAATGATGTCCAAACTTCCTTCCAGGAAAACAGGGCCTGGGCTCAGTCTAGGGAAGGACGGTGGAGGTATTACAGCATGTGTTGTTGGGGAAAGGAACACAATCTAGGTCAGCTGGAAAGGGTGGAGTGGGTGGCATGGAACTGAAATCTTAAGAGGGCTTCCCAGGGGGCTGAAGAGATTGCTCAGTGGTTAAGAGCACCAGCTGCTCTTGCAGAGGACCTGGGTTTGATTCCCAGCATCCACATCGTGGCTAAGAACCATCTGTGACTCCAGTTCCAGGGGAATCCAACACCCTCTTCTGAGCTCTTTGGACACTGTATGATACAGGTGTACTTACATACATGCAGGCAATATGTTCATACACATAAAATAAAAATAATTAATAAAATATTTTTTAAAAGAGGGCTTCCCAGATAACAGAAAAAAATTTTTGTTTCAAAATGGATTTAATGATGTGTAAGAGTGTTCATGGTATAAAAAGGATTGAGCCAGTATTTGAAGTTTCTCTTTTTAAATTTTTATTTATTATTATTTGGGGTGTGTGTGTGTGTGTGTGTGTGTGTGTGTGTGCGCGCGCACGCAGACTTGGTTCTCTCCGTCTGCCTTTTTGTAGGTTCCCAGGGATCAAACTCAAGTCATTGGACTTGTGAAGTAAACACCTTTCCCTGCTGAGCCAGACCAGCATTGGAGGTTTCTGTGGAGGGTTTATGAGATGGTTCAGTGGGTAAGGGCCGTTGTTGCCAAACCTGACAACCTGAGTTCAACTTGGTGGAAGGAAAAAACAAAGAATGGACTCCAAGTTGTCCTCTGACCTCTATACAAGGGCTGTGTACACCCCCCCCCATACACACAACAAATAAGTAAATGAATTTTTTAACAAATTAAATTTTAGTATAAATATCATTTACATGAAAAGTATATACTAAGTAAAACACTTGTAATAACATAAATGGTAACCTAGCTCATCTTTGATAACAGTTTTAATAATTTAGTATTCTTTAAGATTTGTCTATTTTTATACATTTTCAACAATGAATATGCATTATTTTTATAATTAGTAAAATGTTTAAATTACTTACTTTTGGAAGTTTAGGGTTGAAGTAGTTAATTATTCCAAGTTCAAAATAAGACGCAAACCCCTCATTGAGCCAGATATTGTTCCACCAACTCATGGTAACCAAGTTTCCAAACCACTTTGGGAGACAGGAAAGAGAAAAAGATCTTTCTGTAACATAAGTGAGTCTTAATGTAAATTCATGTTAAATAGATGTGAGACCAAAAGACAACTGTATTTGCTATCAATAATCAAATTTGAAACGGGACTCTGAAACAGGTGGCTGTTTTCACAGGAGGAGATACCAACCACGCATTTCTCTGAAATAACTAGCTCGCCTCCAATGACTGAAAGCAGTTTTTGTTTTAAATCAGTAATGTTTAGCCAGGTGTGGTGGCATGAACCTTTAATCCAAGCCCTCAGGAGGCAGAGTCAGGTAGATCTCTGGGAGATAGAGGTCATCCTGGTTCACATTGTGACTTCCAGGTGGGCTCTGATTAGAGAGGCCCTGTCAAAAAACAACCAATTAAAAAGACCGAAAACAAACAAACAAACAAACAAAAAAAAACCTTGTGATGTTTAAACACAAGGCCAACTAGTGAGGGTTTTATAAACTGTTGCTTTGCCTACAAAAGTTGTATTGAGTTCAGGGAAGTTGGAGTCCTGGGGTCTCACTTACCACCTACAATTCTTGCATTCTGCTCTAACCAGGATTTCCTATAAACAGATGCTATGTTTTAAGGTCATGATTTGATCTATGCCACATAGATCATTCAAGTAATCATATGTTCTGCAATGTATTCCAGCTGAAGATATTTTCTATTTGAGCTGAACAGGAAAAAAAGGTGTAGATGTCTTAGGAAAGAAAAAGACAACAATTTTTAACATCAACAAATCCGTACCCTGGTATCTAACCAAATTTTTTACAGCAGCTATTAGAAGCTTGCAAATATATATCAAGTTATATATGTTATATATATTATATATTAGGCTACAACAAGAAATGACACTTAGATGACTAATCAAAACCTGTGTGTGTAGACTGTGTAACCAGAGTGTTGGCTCTTTCCAACATTTCCTGTGTAGTCACACAACTAAGAAAATGTTACTGTCATACTTAAGATTCTTCACACTTGTATTACTGGACTAGAGACTAAAAGGCATGTGTGAGAATCTTCATGAAGTCAAATGCCTAAACTTTCAAATCACAACACGAAGCCAACAGAGCTTGGTTGTTCTTTTTGGTTGTACTTTTTTTTTTCCTTCTATGCTCCTCACTAGAATATGAGCTGCACTCATCTACTCTCTCCCCCAAATAAAATTCAACAGATGCTCGCAATAATTCATTGATAAGGCATGGCTACCTTTCAGTGATGCCTTTTTAATGTATCTTCTTTTAAGATGGAATGCAAAACACTCATAGGCCAGTATGGCTTACTCTTCATGAAGATGAAGCTAACATTTGGAGGTAAATTCTCACACCCTGATTGGACTACAAGGTTTCAATGATGGCTTGGATTCAACTGGATGGACCCTTCCTTGTTTTCATTCATTTCTACATGTTTCAAGAAATGTGTCTCCCTTCCCCAAATTTAGTAACAGTTGTTTCTGGGTTTTGCTGCTTTGGGTAAAGTAGCTAGAGAAGACGATCCTGAGAAGTAAGGAAGAACATTTCACCACATACCTGGTGTCCAATCTCATGGGAGACAGTGGAGGAGATCAGAGCTTTTTTCTCTGTCAGCTCATCATTTGGTTGCAGCAACAATGATGACTCATCAAACACCAACAGCCCCCAATTTTCCATTGCTTTGTTGTCAAAAGTGGTCAAGGCAATTATATCTAAGTGAATGTAAGTAGAGTAAAAAATTAAATCATCTTTTCCAATAAAATGTGGTTCTAGCTACAAATGAAGTCAAAAGTTTACTGAAAAAATAATTTCAAAGGACAAGTTATGATCTGAGTGGAGAGAAGGTTGTTTTTAACAACTAACACTACTTGGAGCTGGAGAGATGGCTCAGCGGTTAACAATACTTGGCTGCTCTTGCAGAGGACCTGGGTTCAGTTCCCAGCAACCACATGGTGGCTAACAACCATCCACAACTCCAGTTCCAGGGAATATGATGCCCTTTTCTGGCTTCCATGAGCATTGTACAACATATATAGGTTATATATTTATTATTTTGTTGTTTTATGTGTATGAGTGTATTGCCTGCATATGGCAGTTCATAGCCACCATGTGGATGCTGGGAATTGAACTCAGGTCCTCTGCAAGAGCAGTCAGTGCTCTTAACCACTGAGCCATCTCTCCAGCCCCAATAAAAACATTTAAAAATAACACTAAAGACAGCATAAATAAGTTATTGTGACTATATGAAAATCATGTAAAAACCAAATACTTTTGGTAAGGGACTCATATCAACCTAGAAATAACTCAAAACTCAACAAGTGCCACGGTACTATGTGGTCAAAGGACAGCCAGATCTCTCATTCTACAATGTGGGTCCTGCAAATAAAACTCAGATGTCAGACTTGGCAGCAAGTGCCTTTACCTGCTGAGCCCTCTTGCTGGTCCCTTTCTAATGGCTATTTTTAAAACTCCTTTTAAACTTCAAATGAATAAAACGATTAGGCAAAATAACTCTATTATAAACTATCATCATTGGTTCCTATATGACCCTCTTATTTTTTTAATACTTTATTTTTAATTTATGTTATGTGTATGAGTGTTTTGCCTGCATATATGTAAGTGCACCTGTGTCATACAATGCCCACAGAGGTCAGAAGAGGTTGTCAGATCCCCTGCAACTGGAGTTATGGATGGTTGTTAGCCACCAGGTGGATACTTGAAAATCAACCCAGGTCTTCTACAAGAGCAGATGTTGTTCTTAACCACTGATCCATCTCTCCAGCCCTGACCCTGTCATTTTATAAAGTAATTAACTTATATATATACATGTCATTATGTAAAAATAACAATAGAAGCAACTACAAATCTAATACCTCTTTAGAACTAACTGGGGCTGGAAACCTTTTCTGTAAAGGATCAGATGGTAAAATTTTCAGCTTTATGAGCTGTATATAAAATATTATATACAGTATAATTACATATGATATAATTTCACACAATATAATTTGATGGCATTTAGATCCCCTTCCCTAACCATACTTCCCCACAACTGGTCCCCCCCCCGCCACTAATTCCACATACTCTCATACATATAATATGGCCCATAGAGTTTGTTTGTGTCCCCAAATGTCCTACTGTGGCATAATACTATCCTCTAAATGTCAAGCTTGCTTACACCTACTTGTTTAGGATCATCACAAACAAATATGACTGTTGACCTCAGCAAGAAAGGAGGGGTTGGAGGAGGGGTTGGGAGAGACAGCCACACCACTTAACCAATTAGTTGGCTGGATTTACTCCATGGGGAGGGACTAAGGATACTTAAGTAGGGAAAAGTCCAAGAGGCAGGGAGGGGCCTTCACCATCTTGAGCAACTGCTGGGAAGTCACAGGGTCCCTGCTGTGAGGTATAGAGGAGCCCACCCCCACCCCCACTTCTGTAAGTAACCCCCTCACCTGCTGCTCTGTGAGCAAGCCCAAATAAACTTGCTGGTTTCCCAAACTGCAGTTTGATGAAATTGTACCTCACTTTGTCTTTGGGTCCAAGACAGGAGGGGGCTGGATGCCATGAGTGCCTCCCAGAAGGAATTTTAGCAACAATTGGCATACTTGAGCAGGATAGGACATAACCGAGGCTGAGTTTAGGAAGGGCAATCGTGATGTCACTGATATGGGGAAGGAGACCATATCAGTGAGGGGTGAGGGGAGAGTGTTGGGAGAAGATATTTTAACATGGTGGGCTATCCCCATAGGGCTGATGGGAGTAACAGCAACAGCATGGATTGTGCAGTGGATTGTGAGATGTAACTAGGGGAGGCCACCTAAGCCAAAGATGTCAATGGGGGAAATCCCAGGATGGTAGTCCTCTTGTAGGTGTTGTAGAGTGGGTACCTGCTTGAGTGGTGGGTTCCAACACTTGAGTATGGAAATGCTTTAAGGACTGTGGATGGTCTAGAGCAAACTTTGCAAGTCCTGGGAGTAGCACACCATGGGGGAGTCTCAGTGAGCAGTTGTAGATGCTGCTTGGCCATTTCTTTGCATAATAAAAGATATGTCCCAGGAAGAGGCAATAGATCACAGGGAGATTAAAGATGTAAGAAAAGATGTTAAGAGAGGAATTGCAGTGAGAAAGGGATATGAGTCAGGACTCTTCAGTATTGGCCTCTGACCTTGCCAGTAAATTGCATAAGAGAGAAAAAGAGATGGGGATTTTAGTTTGCCATTTTTTATGGCTAGGAGGTCTAAGGGGAAAGAAAACACAGATCAGATTGATAACACAAGGCCCCATCCTGGAACCCCAAAACATGGAACCCATGGGCTGCATAACCTGAAGCAGTACTGAGGGAATCAGTCCCTGATGAACTGGCTTGTATGAGCCATTAGAGATACTTGGTCATCCCCAGTGGATAGTCCCATGGATATCAGGGGCTGGAAGACCATAGAAGAGGGACAGGCATTACTGAGAGAACTAGGTAGGAGGAAAGAAATGAATGATGCCTAGGCCGGATAGGACTGTGTTCACCAGAGATTTAAAGAAGAACTTGATTCATCAGGGACCTCAAGATTGGTATGGTGCTTTAATGGCTTTGCTGAGTCCCTTAGTGGGGCAGGATCTTTGTGAAATAGAAGAGGCTTTGGCAGGTCTATGTGACTTAGACCAGCATGTAAAACGTGTCTATAAAATAGTAGAGCAACCTAAAAGATATAGGAAAAAGACAAAGCAGAGAGAAAGATCCACTTGGGTTACTTGAGGGTAATGTGGCAAGATTTGTGTCTAACCCATGTTCCTAAAGAAAAAAATTGACAAAATGGCAAATTCTGTGCTGAGACACTTCTGGAAGTCGTTAATAAGGAACAGAGTTTACAAAAAAAAATTGACAAAATGGCAAATTCTGTGCTGAGACACTTCTGGAAGTCGTTAACCTAAGGAACAGTTTACAAAAGGCATACAGAAGATAAAAACTTTCCAGGGGTGGGTAATGATCACCAAAGATTAAACAGGGTATATTTCTCTTCTAGGAAAGGTTATGCTAGGGGTGGAGGCAGTTTGCCCAGCCAGGACCTCCTCCAGCAGCTAGGTGTGGTCAATGGAGAGACAATAGATATGGCTACAGCCAGGAGGCAGACCCAGGGCCTATCTGACCCAGTGAACCAACAGGTGCAAGAGGGACCCTACTTCTCCTTGACCCTATATAGGGTCAGGCTACTTGAGCCAGCCCCAATGAGTTTATCAAGGATAAGAAAATGCAGGGAGGCTCCACGTAATAACCCCAGGATATGAAATGGCTCCAAAAGATAACTGAAGATAGTAAAGAACTAAGTTGGTGCCTCTTATCCATGCTATTGTACCCAACATAGCTCTGTTGAGAAAACAATTGATACAAATGGATAAATGGATAAAATCTTTCCATGTGTTAGATCTTGTTTGTGTTTGATTTAGTATATAATGTTAACTTCTGAGTATTTTACAAATGTGGAACCCATTTGAGAGATATCAAGTACACCTGAAGAAACAAGGGCCAGGTAGAGCTGTAAAATTCTTGGGAGGTTTATGGTTGTGTAAGGCACAAGTGATATTTACCAGGATGGTTGGGAAAAGTCTACAACAGCATGATCCTATAAATGCCAAAGAGTAAACAACAGGCATCTTATGAAAATAAAAAGAGAGGCGCCCAAAAAACTATATAGTTGTTAAATGAAAATTCCAGAGCTGTTGGCCAAGGTGGCCCTGGAAGCCCTCGAAATGATAAAGGCTATTGTCACTAATGCTGGTTGCAACCAGAAAAAGCCAGAAAGACCCTATTGCTGAAGATGCCAAATGATATGAGCATGGGAAAGGAAGACATCAAGCTGGGACTAAGCTGGAAACTCCCTGTGACTAGACAGTTGGTGATTATACACCAGGATGTGCTATACAGAATCATTAGGGGAGAATGGTCCCCAAAAGTTATGCGTGCTGCACTATCGACATGCCAAGCAAAATCTGCCTGCTGGTGCAATAGTGGCTTGACTAATATATGTACAACCGACAATTTCTGATTGGATTTAAGGCCTGCTCCTTGGAGAGAAACACACATCTGGTACTTCAATCCAGGATAACCCTCAATGGCAGGGGAAGTTATAGGGCCCAGTGGGGAAACCATTGCAATTGTTTTGTTAGATGCATGTTTTGTTAGATACCTGCTAAGATATCTTCCAAACATTTGTGTTGATACCCATAGGTTAGGTTATTACAGCAGTCATGTCCCTGCTTCTTTTCATTTGTTTTTATAGTAGGAGGAATACCACTGAGATGGGCCAACAGCCACATCTTGGAAAGAAGATGAGAAGGACCAAGAGTTTAGAATCACCACAGTAGAGGGAGGATTGTCCTACATCTATGTCACTCCCTCCAGGGCTCAGAGACTCTTGCAGAAGAGGATGGCAGAAAGAATGTAGGAGCTGGAAGAAGGCATGGAGTGTGGCATAATACTATCCTCCAAATGTCAAGCTTGGTTGCACCCACTTGCTTAGGATCATCATGAACCAACATGACTATTGACCTCCACAAGAAAGGAGGGACAGGAGGGATAGCCACACCTATCAACCAATCATTTGTCTGGAGTTGTGCTGAAGGAGGGACTAATGGTACCAAAATGGAAAACTTCCTGAGGTACAGGCCTTTTCCATCTTGGGGAGCTGCTGGGAAGTCACAGGGTCCCTGGTGCAATGTA